AGAAAAGGTGTATTAAGCAGCACTGAGCTGTGGTCACTAGAAACTCCAGTTGGGTTGTCACAGCCATCCCACATTTGACAGCATGCAGGAAACCAAAGTGTCTCTACCAGTTAACTCCAAGCAACCTGGGCTCATCTGTCATCTTCCACATCCAAATTTCTCCTCTACGTGTGCTGTCCCACCTTTATGCCACCTTCTTCTCTTTCTGACCAATGTTACGGATGGAATCTATGAAATATCTTCACATTCTATTCTTTTAGATTACAAAATTGTAATTACTTCTCCTGTTAGAGAAGTGATGTATCAGCCAGCTGTGAATGAAACACATGCAACTTGTTTAAAGACTCTTGTAATAGCAAAACAACACGAAGATAAGGTTTGTCAGAAAGAAAACATTTGTGTTACAAAGCCTTCACACATGGCAGTGGGTTATCACTAGGTTATCACATGACTACATATTATGACCTAATTGAAGAACTTAGCACAGCATTTGCCTTCCTCCTGCAATGATGATTTGTGGCACATTTTGTCACCACACTGTTGAACTGCTCTGTGCAAACACAGCACTGAACTAATAGCAGGGGGGCTGGAACTAGGTGATATTAAAGGTCTCTACCAACCCAAACCACTCTAGGATGTTATGGTTTCTCCTACTTGGGGCCCTGGGGAAGACCACAGAATTCTAAGTTTATGTCTGCAATCAGAAACCAAGAGAGCCTACTCCAGTTTGGAGGTCACAGTGAGACACATAAACTGGATTAACGGTAATCCATCAGTAGTAAAGAGATACCAGAACCCAAATACCAGCCAGTGTCTCTTACTTCCTCCAACTGAAATGTAAGAATCTTCTCCACTCTACATCTGCAGAACCACAAGGGCAGGAAGCGACCTCTGGAGATCATCATATCCAACCCCCTGTGCCAGCAGGGCACAGAAGAAAGCATCCAGGTGGCTTTTGATTGTCCCCAGACAAGGAGAGTCCCAAAACATCTACGAGCAGCCTGTTCCAGTGCTCTGTAATCCCCACAGCAAGGAAGTTCTTCCTCATGCCCCAGTGGAACTCACTGTGCTCTTATTTATGCCCACTGCCCTTTGTCCTGCTGTTGGGCACAACTAAAAAGAGCCTGGCATCATCTCTAAAGTGACAGTTGAACAGTTCACATTTGTAACCTCTCAGTCTGCAGATATGCAACCTTCCTGCCTCTGCAAGCTGCACATTAACATCATGATGTTACGATAGGGATTCCTAAGAGACACGGCACAGACAGCCAGGGGGAGCAGAAAGCTCCAGAAGCAGACAACAAGCAGAGGGGAATGATGCTGCCCCACCACCCCATCATAGGGCAGTGCTGACAGGCTGCTGGGTCCCACATTCACTGCAGCTGTTCCAGCCATTGTAACCTTGCCTCATCCTGCAAGCTGAGAGCTGAAGGTCCCGTTTTTCCATTTGACAGCCATCATCCCTTTTCCTGGTCATATGCCAGGAATACACAACCCTGCACACATCATGAAGTAAAAGGGACAGATTGGCCCCCTATGCTTTACAGTGAAGGAAAAAAATGTTCTGCAGACTACCTCAATCAAAGAGTTAGGAAAGAATGTTCTATGGCCAACTAAAAATGGTAGTTAACTCTTTTCACCTGTGCATTTGGAGATTCAACAATTACCTTCACTGTAGATGATGCTGGAGAATGGGGTACCTACATTGCAAGGGTAGATGCTTCAGTAACAGTATTATCACTTCAGCTACTTTATATTTAGCACCTGAGCTTCAATTTAGACAAAGCAAGTAGAATTCAGCTGGGATGGGAGCAAAGCTGTTGGAGCCAGGGACTTGGGCACCTCTGTGCTCCCTGTATCTGCAGTGAGACAGCTGGACAAACAGCAGCAGCAAAATGCCTTCACCTCACAGCGTTTGTCACAAGCACAGCTCTCCACAAAGTCTCCTGTAGTTATGAAGTAACAGCCGCTTCCTGCGGTGGGAACTGCGTACTGTGCAGCACCAAGCTCTTCCTGGTAGTTACAGCTAAATGCTTTCATTACAAAAGCCTTTATGTATATGTAAAGTTTCTTCATCAAGCGCACAGAAAGCAGCCAGAGTTTACACATCTGAAATAAACACTAATGGGCTGTGCTCAATGGTGCTGCTCTCAAAAAATTACCATAAGGCAGCAACATGGGAGCACAGCGTGCGATGGGAACGTGTTCATTTCCCACCTCATCTCATTCTGCAGCGCTTCTCTCCGGCTTAACAGGAAGACTAATTTGTTTTCAAGTAATTGAGAAACAGCTCCTTATCAGTTCTTCAAATGTCTTTTTTCCTTTCACACATAGCCCAGAACTGTTGCCAACAGCGTACTCGTAAGAGATTCAGCCTAGAAGAAAAATGCCAAACAATGCTGCAGAAAAAAATTACAAACTGAAGAAGCTGCTAAGCAGACAAGACTTAAAAGAGCTGGTTCTTCATTTAAACAACAAAAATAATTTGTTTAAATAGACACGAGAGCAACACGAGGGAGCACTTCCTACCCCTGCACCAGTGACTTCAGAGGCAGCCACATGCCTTCCCTCTATTGGTGGAAGCACATGTTTATTTTGGAAGGCTTTGTGCTGCACACACAAATGCAAACACCCAGCCTGCTCCGAGCTGACAGCACACCATGCTCACACCCACAGGAAACCTCTTTCCTCCTTCCTGAGGCCTCACCAGAGACCAAACATGAAACAGCTTCCAACGAGCCACAACCACACACACGGAGCTAAGAATTAATTGCTAATGGAACAGCATCCGCTTTTTTTTTTTTGACTGCTCTAAGAAAAAGTGAGAAATGCAATATTTATGAAAATTTTAGAAGCCTCTTTCTCACAGCATTGGTTTCCAGCACACAATAAGCCAACCAGAAAAGAAACCCTTCTCCACTGCTCCAGTCCTGCAGCTTCTCCCATTCCAGTTACTTCCAAGAACTGCCTTCTCCTTCACAAATATAGCCAGGAGTTAATAAGAAACAGCATAAACATGTTGTCCCAACCAGCTGAAAAACAGAAACTGAAAACTGTCTCCCTATGCCATCTTTGTATGATTTTCTTCAGCCTTCTCCAACAGAACCCAAGTGGTGGGAATACCTCCCACTGCCACAGCCACCCACAGCTGCACAACAGAGCCATGCCTGCACCAACAAAAGGAATCTGTGCTCCCCTGCCAAGCTGGCACCTTCTGACACAGCTTCCCCTGCACACCCAGGCTGGTCTCAGTCATTGGAAAGATCACAGCAGAGAAAGTAACATCTATGCTGCAAGCAGCTCTGCTACGTCACACCTTACCTGCCCCAAATCCAGATGCAGTCATGCTCTGCAGAAGGTTCAGCCCCCATTTGGCTTTAATCTTTGATTTAAAACACCCTGTATATGCAGTATATGCTGGTGCAGGCAGCTCACCCAGCTACAGTGTCATTCTGCCTTTACAATGAATTTAATTGCTTTCTCCCAGATATGAAATAAAATAATTTGGTGTTAATCCCTGTGTCACCTTTAGTTCTAGGGGCTGTTGTCATTCAACCTTGGAAACAAAATAAAGTATGGGCACCAAAGAGACGAAGATAAGGGACAAGTACTGAACTCACAGAAACGCAGTCCCTACATTTAAAAGAAATTAACTCAGGTGCTCGTGAACAAAACCTGGATCCATACCACCACCCTCATAAAACCTTACGTCACACCTGATGGTATCAAACACACATACAAAGTTATCACAGCAAAGACAAAAACCACGCTGTGCCACACAGAAAAGGAGATGGCACTGTGGCTCCGTGCTATCAGGAATCAAGGCCCATTAGTTATGTAAAAACGAACATAATTAGTTACTCTGACAAGAAAAACATCTGCTACTGAGATAGGATATTAAAGTCATTGTAGCACTGAATCCTTTTCGCACAGAAATGAGTTGACAAAAAGTATTACATATTTTGGAAACTAAACTAATTCTTAGATAGAAATCGTACCTTAATTCCAAATGTCTCACATGCTTAAGATTCTGAGAGGAAAGGTCCCAGCTATTGCTACCTTCCTCACTGCTATGAACCACAGGGCAGATGCAACACAATTCAGATTGAAGCTTTCTGATTTCACACGTTTCTCATGGGAAAAAAATTGGGGGGAAAAAAGTGTACTGATCAATTTATCCTAGTTTCCCCACTGTGTACTTAGAAGATTGTTTTTCAGAATTCAGTATTACTGAAGAGAGAATTAATTCCTGCTATATAAATACATAAAAAGCATTTGAAACATAAGTTGTTTTGTCAATCCCATATGCTAGACTTGGCTCTTTTCTAATTCCCAGCCTTTGGAATTTGAGAAGCTGTACTTGCCAGTCTGCCACCTAATTACACAGCAATAAACGTGCATTAACCAGTTCAACACCAAGCTGCAGCCCTGACTGCTGTGTGGTGACAAACAACCCAAGGCACAGAGCAGGTGGCAAAAGGCAGCAGCTGCAAAGAAAGGCATCACACCTGTCTCACTTCCACACCTTCGGTGAGGCCGCAGCTTCACCACCATTTCCTCCATCCAGGCTTCTCATGAGCTCAAGGAACTGAATTTACTCACTACACTGAGTTGATTTGGGGGTGAAGGAAGCAGAGATGTACATTTTTTGGTGGCAATTAAATTTTCTTTGAAATAATAACAGCTAGAAACTAAATTGAAAACATCTGTCCTGATATGAGGGGAAAATGATAACATACAGTGTGTTACGTTCCAGTTATTTCATCTATGCATTCCTACCAAAAAGGAGCCACGTGACACCCAACGTAGAAACTTACTCTGAGAATCCAGCGTGAACAGTCGGCTCCTGCAGCAAGGATTCAGGAACACGAGATATTGCCCCCTCATTAGAAAGGAACATGAAGAACAGGACACACACACACACACACACACACACACACACACTTTTAAACAAACTTAAAACACCACGTGTTTCACCAAATGAATAAACATAAATTTACCTTTGGTTTTTTGTTCAGCAGCCTGAAAGAAGAACAGAACAACAGAAAAAAGAAATCAACTATTTGTCAATCTTCAAAGGGATACCTAATAATTGCAGAGCTGCAGCCCTGACCTTTTGCAGACAACGCTTACATAAAGCGGGCATTAGGTCTAATTAATGATAGGAACATTTTAATTCAACTCCGTGTACAGGGAACATAAGAATGGCTATCTTTGTCTGACAACAGCCCAAAGCTGCTGCTTAACCACAGTAAGAAGCACAGCAAGCACCAGCCCCCACCCAGCCTTCCACACCCAGGACTCAGAGATGCCCTGAACCAAGCAGGTCTACAAAACACTCAACAAGTTCAGTTCCATCAATTTGCCCTGTTTCAGTTCTACCCACTTTTCTTTTTATTTGAGGTAGCTTTTGTAACTACCAAGCAAGAGAGCAGTTCCTACCTACACCCTCAAGCCCACATACGATTAAAACTAACTTCATACACAGACAGTAACAGTAATAATAAAAAGGCAAGAAAATGCAAACCACAGAAAAGATGAAGTGGCCTTGGAATCCACAGCCACTCCAGCATCAATTTAGGGTAAGTGCACTGATGCTGACAAGGAGCATGCACACCACGCAGCACTGGAAGCAGTCACCACCACCCATGGATGGCCAGCAGCTCAGGGCTTGCTAATGAACTGTCACAACTGCTTCACTGAGACCACAGCCTCTGATGGGGCTGCTGACTTGTGTCAGAATTAGTCAAAGTGAAGGTTACAGAGCTGTATCTGTATGATGCAAATAAATGAATACAAAAAGCAAACCTTTTTCTGAGCACCTTCCTTCTTTTTCTTTTCTTCCTGCTTTTTCTTTTTCTTTTCTTCCATCAAATGTTCCTCTTCTTGTGTTTCTTCCTCTTTCTCCCTGAGGGAATAAAGGCCGGAGAGAGCTTTTCAGTAAGATCAATTTTACCTGGGAAGGCAAATAATCCTTACTAATGTTGTTAGCTTTCTAATTCGCATGTCTAAAAGGGCTGCTTCTAATGCTGGAAAGAAAACATTACAAAAAAAAGCACTTCAAACCAAAATGAGCAACAACTGAAACAGTCGGGGATGGAAACTCTGAAATAACAGATTTGGAACCTCTCCTTCATTACTACTTAATACTACAACGCTGTATGGAAAGAAGACTTAAAGCAAGGAAATAAAAGAACCAAACCAACTAATTAACGCTGACTTCCTAATGCTGATTCACAATGTACCTTAAAGATTATGCCCGGGTACATTACTTCTGAAGTATTTTGTTTCATTTTGTTTTTTGTTTTTTAAATCAGATGCTTGTTTTCCTCAGATGCATCAATTTTGCTCTCCAGAGGAAAAAAAAAGAATCATAAAGTCTGGATTAATTCAAACTATCCTATTTTCTGTTTATCCTATAAATTCAAGCTGAAGGATTTGCATAGCTGTACACCACTTTTCCACAGGCACCTTGGTTAAAGATGCCAACTTCAGCCAAGCCTGAACCTCCCCCTCTGTGCCCTCTTTGTCCATCACTGCACTGAACAGCCCTAACAAGGAATCCCCCGCAACGCCCTGCCAAGCAAATACCAACAAGCAGTAAAAGAATTATTTGCACTAACTGTTTTATCTTCCTTGTCAGCTCTTCAAAGCCCGATCATTTATCAGCCTTACAGATCTTCTGAAAAGACTCCGTTTCTGATCGGCTGAAACTATTGCTGCTATTATTGGATTAGAGCTTCTGAGGCATGATTTGATTTTCAGCTTTTCCAGTTGCCTGACAATACAGGCTGTGGCCATTGCAGACATGAAGTGCTTGCAGAGCTGCACAGCGCTCCCAACATCCAGAAGCAGCTTTCCTATCCGCATCACCCCAACACCAAGCATCCCAGCGCCAGTTCCCAGCTCTGAGCACACCTCTCACACACAGCAGGGCACTCCAAGCACTTCCAGGAAGGACAGGTACGGCCACAGCACAGCAGTGAGGTCAGCACAGCTGGAGGCAGGACCTGAAGCACCTCAAACCACATCTCACGTCACCACAAACTCGGTGCCCATATTTACACCAGCTCCCAAGGGCCACGTTCCAAACACTGCACAGTCCATGCTTCAGAACACTTGCAAGAGCTGCAGCTAGGAATCAGCACGGCGCATTCAGCATCGCGCCTGAGATGGGTATTTGAAATGGCAGCTTTAAACAGACTCTCATAGGACTTTGCAAAAAATGACGACTTACACCGCCAAAAGAAACACAGTTGAAACAGTAACGGCTGTGACTTTCTTCCTGTTGGTTCAGTAGAACAGAAGTCCCCCGGATTTCAGTGACTACAAAGCAGCTGCATCCACTCCCTGCACTTCCAGCGCTCCCTAACGAAGTCCTACCACACTCTACAAAGCCCACACCTCCAAGTGATCAATGCCAGGCTTCCACCAAGGGAAGTTCCAGCCCTTCTCCTGTGTTAAAGCAGGTGACTGAAGCAAGCCAAGCGGGAAACAGTTTGGTCTCCTGCTAGTACTTAAGCAAACCAGTGATGTGATAGCAACTCCAGAAAACCACAATTACAGTTAAATCCCTTCTAATAATCAGTGCAGTGTTTGAAAAGGCAGGAAAAAATAATCAAAAAAACAACCTTAATTTCGAGTTCCCTTCCAACTATGAAATTACATGCTTCCCAACTTTACTGTTAGGTCTTTTTCCCCCATTAAGTTCCTTGAGTCAGGCTGCACTCAGTGGCACCTCTCTGCTCCCACCCTGCTGCTCTGAGCCTCCCAAGCACCACAGTGTGCCATTCCCTCCCCTCCACCCCTAATACACCATATCAGAGGATTTTCTAAATCAAAGGACAGCAAACATGTTGCTTCATTAAAAATACAGTGTATTTTATTACCGTATTATCATATCAATTACAACATAAGAGGTAGAAGTGCCACTCCTAGCAGAAACCTGTTTTTTTATTTCATTTCTGAGTTTCAAATAGCCTCAAATTAACTCGGAAAACGATACCATAATTTTTAATGGAGTTCAATTTTCAGAACTGATTTACATAATGACACTTCTGAATACATATGCTTTAAATATGCTTAAAATAGAAATAAAGCTCCAAGTGGCCTCTGGGATGGCAACGCTCGCTGTCACTTCTAGGCAGAAATTAGTCATCCCCGAGCAAAACAACAGGAAAACAATAAAAACATTGCTATATAAAGTTTGATTACATTGTCAAAAGCCATGTGCTGTAGTTTTACTTCCCGAGTGACGATTCAATCTTTATTACAGGAAGTATGCTAAAGAAAAGGGAATACAGAGCTCATGATTTAAAGCAGAAGCATCTCAGGGTGTATTTGCACGAGCTTGCCTTTTTCATAGCAACAGATCCAAAATATCAAAGCCAAGGAAGATTTTTTATGAGCAAAACTCAGTTTTACTTTGGTGCTGTTTTTAAAGAATGCAATTATCTCATTAAATCTGAGCCTAAATCCAGGCTTTCAGCAAAGCATTCAAGCTGAGGAGGCTGTCCTGCAGTAGGAAGGTGAGCTGGCAGGTCAGTGTCAGTACAGCCTGGAAGAACTGCGGTTACTTTCTGTCAGTCTGTGCCCATTACAAAAGTCTTCTTTTTCCCTTAAAAAAAAAAAGGAAACCAATCTAGGTTGATTTTTTTTAAGCCCAATGAAAACAATTTTCTAGTTGGCATCAGGCACCGGATCGCTTTCATGTCTGAAAGCACAGCTGGCATTCTGCATTGCTCCAACCTGACATCCTAACGGGATTCTGCAAGAAGCCTTTTGGGAATACAGCATTCTGATGCAAACTTCAAGGGCTGATCCGTGTCACTGCATGTAAGCTTATACCCATCCTATGCCTCATCCAGAAGCACTGCAATGGCCAGCCATGGGACAGAGGTACATCCCTGTCTGTGCCTCCATGTGCCACAGCTCCAGTCTGAGGGGTTTGGGCAGCACAGACACAAAACACAAAATAACCATTCAGAAGGTTCTCTAAGATCTGGTTCCAAATGGCAGCGATGAAACAGGGAAAGAATACATAAAATAAGCAGCAACGAGTACTGGAAAGGCAGAATGCAACAATTCAGGACAACTGAGAAATGCTGCTGCAGAAGAAAAGAGCCAGGTGCTGTTTCTTGGAAATGACAAATCCAACAGAGAATGCAGACACCCCAGGCCAGAGGAGGAATGCTGCCAGAGCCCCACGCCACCAGCAGCCCTGGTTTCAGAGGGATAAAGCAAGGCTCCTATCAGCCCCTTGCTCACGCTGCTTCCTCCCTCCTCCTCGCTCTGCCCAGCCCTCTGTGACCTGTCTGCAGCTGATCCCAGCAGAAGGCATAGAGCTGGCAAGAGCTTAACCAGCAGCAGGCCTCCTTGATACCAAGGCTCAGTCATTAAGTGGGAAGTCAGACCGGTCCCAATGACCAGCTCTCCAATCACCTCAAAGAAGAAAGAAATCCATAAAACCAGGCCAATTGAGAATGAACACAAAACCAGAACAAACACAGGTTAAAAAAATGAAAGTCAATAATCAATTAGCAGTGACAACAAAGCTAAGCGCTTTGGGAGCAAGCAAGAGGAAGAATTTGTTTCAGTGCTTCATGGCACAGCTTGCCCAGGGACAGGTAAAGAGCAGGCAGCATCTGGGCACATGCTATGTGGTGCCAGCAGCATCCCCTGCTGCTTTCCTGGCCATTCATAGCCAGAGAACACAGCCCCAAGCAAGGATCCCACAGCCTGGTCCTTCAGTGCCTGCTTCCCAGTCCTGGGGAGACAGCTCACTTCTGAAGCGAGCTCCCACAGACTGGCAGAAGGTGGAAATACATGGGGCAGCAAAAGTAAGAACAGCTTTAAACGTCTTTCAGAGAAATCAGATGGCTTTCCCCGCTCTCTGGGCCTGATGTAACTTAGCACAGGACAACTGCATCCAAGTCATCCTGATTACCTGGAAGGATCTGCAGAAGGGCAGCACCCCAGAAGACTTGCAAAGAGGCAAAGATTGCACCTACACCTTAAAAGGGGAAGGGACAGCAACATCACTAACCAGGATTTGTAAAGAGAAGCTACATCAAATCAGCTTGTTGTTTTCCCTATGGCACAGCTACAAGCACTTTTAACAGGGAAGAAAGAAGATGCAACAGATGTAATTTATTGACTTTTCAAGCAAAATGTACAGGTTTTTTTTTTTAAAAAAAGAAAGAAAAAACACTGTGCTTTAGTCGTTGTCTAAGAACAGGGTAGGGAAACACAAGCTGAGTGACACTACGGCACAGTCAGCACTTCCCCTTCCAAGCAGGCAGAGATCCCATGGATTTGGTTGCAGTACATCACCCATATCCAGCAGCATTCAGTACTTCTATTAATCACTTCATTGCTGGAAGAATGTGTGCACTGAGCTTCCAGAACACATCAAGTCATGAGGCTGCAAAACTCAGCCAGACAGAATTCAGGAGAAGCAGATACACCCAGGATGTGGTCTGAATAACAGCAGAGTGCAATTCAGCAACAGCACAGGGTACCATGTTCAGCATCAGTGCTGCAGGAATTAACTGGGAAACCATCCTCAGCTACACCACTGAGGGCAAGGTAAGCTGATCAGTGTGTTTTATGCACAGGTATGAACATTCAGCTTGAAACTAAACCCTGTAATTTGAAAGTCTGGGTGCAAAACGTGTCCCTACAGGGAATCATAAATGAAGCTTGAGGAGCATTTGTTTGACCTCAATTTATGATTTATTAATCCCATGCTTTGGGGCTTCTGACTGTTAAATTATGTCCCTGTCCTGCATTTGTCACTACTTAGTACATAATTTGACTTGACAGGATTTCTCCCTTCATGTGAAACATCAAAATATCATCCTCTGCTAACTGTGGGTCTGGTACTTTGCTTTTCCCTGTATCTGGTCA